GTGTTGTTCTTGTTTAAGTTAGGCTGAAACAGTCTATGCTTATTGCAAAATACAAGGGTACGCGCGCACACACATGCACAAACACAGGCACACGCTTAAACGTAGTTACTCCAGAATAACTTCTGAGCAGGGAAGTGTGTAGACGAGCCCTAGTAGACAAGCTGGGGACTATGGCTGCCTGCAGCTGCGATGGGAAGGGAGGGCTGGATGTCAGCACCCGAGCGGGACACTGTGCATGCACACACTCTGCAACAGAAGCTGCTAGCGCGGGGTACGGAGGGGAGATCCCTAGAGCCATCTTAGCACCCCATTCTTCCTCTCCCACTAAAAACCCGTCCCCTGATACAGCTACTAGCTTTCCTCATGGCTCAGCTCTAGCTGTTCCCCACATCTCACTGCCACAGCAGCTTTTATCGGTAATTGGATAAGGAAAGGGAGGCTCCAGTTATCCCAGTGCCATAGACGCTGGCCCAGGCACATTGTTTGCCGAAATGTTTTCAATCAAAACAGGCTAATATTTTAAAGGCAGTTTGGTCAGGCTGTGCGGACAGGGATGTGTTTAAAGATTTCGTTTTTTTCAAAATACATTGCGGCTCCGTGGGCAAGAGCTACAACTGCCCTGTTTAGGAAGAGGGAAACAAACATCCCGACAATTTAACTTACGCACAAACACACACACTTGATCCTGACTTCTGCACATTCATCATTTAGCTCAAAAGCCTTTTTTTTGTGTAAGAAATTAATTGTTTGTGTATTGTCAGCATTAAGCAGATAGATAAGTATGTAAGCTGGAATGTTATTTCTGCAGTTATTTTAAATATTTGGGTTGTCCACTTAAACTATGTATAAATAAAGTCAGTATGAATTTCTTCATTTCTTTGATGGCACGATAAAGCCATCCTTTCTGTCATTACATACACCAGCATTTAATGGCCAGGCTGAAAATGACAGGCTAATTAGGATATCAGGTTTTGAGGTTTTACGTCACTACATTTCTAACTTTGCTGGGGACCATCCCTAGACTTCCCAGCTTTTTGGGGTTTTTTTTTTTTTGTTGTTGTTTTCCAGGGAGAGGAGCAGCTGTGTGACTAAACACTTGGAATTTAGGGTTAGGAGCTTCAGGACAAAGCAAGCCTTAAATCAGGTGCCCTCATCAACCAGTTCTGCCTAATGCGCTGTTTCAAGGGCTGTTAGAAGACCTTATCTCTGTGATAGACAGTTTTCTTTCCTGCTTGTGGGGTATGAACTTGGCAGCAATGGAAAACTGAGCAGACCCCAAAGCTTCTGTACTTGGAAAAGTTGGGTTTAAAGCATTCATGGACAAAAACAGACTATAAGGCTGAATACTTACCAGATTACCATTTGCATTATGATCCTCTGGTTTTGTTGAACAGATGCTTAGGACTTGTCTACTCGGAGACACAGAGAAAAATTAGGAATCAAATGCAGAGGTGAAGTTAATGCTTTTATATGCATTAAACTCTTGCACAGATGCACACGTTTAGAACCATAGTGGTCTGTAACTTAATCCTTTAATTTATGTGTGTTCACTACACAGCTTTGACTCCTCTGAAGTTTCCCAAGCTGCTCCTGAAGTCAAGGCTCACCAGGGGTTTTCTGCACACAAAAGTTACAACAGACTATGATGGTGTTTGAATGTAAAGAATAATGCATGCTCCTGAATTATTTATTCATTATGAAGCAAAAGGGTATTGTTCCTGATTAGCTCACCTCATGTAGAGGTCTTCTGCACAAGTCATTATGATGTAAGCTAAAGTACACACTTATTGTGTGTTAACAACTCTACGTACAACACCCAAACAGGCCTAAAGGGGCGTGGAGGAAAGAACAATTTCTTCTATATTGGCCATCTGGCTGAGGTGCTCCAAGCTGCAGCTACATTAATACATAAAATAACCAACAAGTACATGGTACAGGAAACTACTAACACCAAAAGCAAAGATGCTTGAAGCCCAAACTTGTGTCATCTCACTCCAATTACTTAATGGGTACACCCAGTTTAGGAACCTGGCAAACCCAGATTGCTTTTAAAGACTAGGGAATGGAACAGAAGGAAGACTTACTCTAAGAACAGCTTAGATTTTACAGAGGTAAGTTTATTCCCCCGGACAGTTCTGTTATATGGGATAGAGGGAAAGTCTAGGATAACAGGCTCCTATTTAGCTATATGAAGTTAATGAGATTAATCCAGGCTCTACTACCCATTGGGACTGTCCATGTAGGAGGTTGGTATAGGAGATATGAATTCAGATTAGTTTACATTTCCTTCCTACACAGTCAACCTTTTGAGACACTAATTCACTTTCATAGCATGCCAACTAACCAGAAACCAGGCTTCATTTTTTTTTAAAGAATCACACAATCACAGCATGGCTGAGGTTGGACAGGACCCTTGGAGGTCATCTGGTCCAATCCCCCTGCTCAAGCAAGGCCACCTATAGCTGGTTGCCCAGGACTGTGTCCAGACAGCTTCTGAGTATCTCCAAGGTGGCAGACCCCACAACCTCTCCAGGCACCCTGTGCCAGTGCTCAGTGATCCTCACTGAGTGTTTCCTGATGTTCAGAGGGAACCTCCTGTGTTTCAGTAGACATTTACTTGGGAACTACACAGATGGACTCTCAACACGTAAGCCCAGGAGGAAGCTACCACAGGGTAAGTCTGGTTGTGAAAACACTTCTGATCTTTTGGTTATATTGCAGCAGCTGCCCGTGCACACATACTTACCACAGGGTAAACATGACGAATTTTATTCCTCAGAGAGAAGAAAGCTATCTCAAACCTTCCAAGCTTTGGTTTAAGCAGAACACATGTAAACCCTTAAGGTACCATTCCTCAAGCACAGACAATAATGTCTGAACTAGTCATCCAGACATCTTCTGTAGCAAGGAAGCAGCCAGCTCCTGTGTTGTGAGAATCTCTAAGCATCAGATAGGAACACAGCCAAAACTCGCCAAAAAAACCCAGGTCTGTAAATCAGTTAGCACCTGCGTCTTTCCACTGACCCTTAACCCCAGAGCACCACTGTAGATGCATCAAGGGTGTGATTTCTCCTGCATACTGGGAAGTACAGTGCTATAGAATGATCTTCAAACCTTGTTCACATGACTATAAGCTTAGCACCATTAAGACAGGAGCTTTCTGAGAAAACTTTCATCAGCTGCCTATCCCATTTGATTGCTCCAGCAAAACAAAGACAGAAAGGTATCGAGAGGTGCACCCATAGCAGCTCATCTAGGTTTAACAATAAACTTTATTCCTACAGAATAAAGGAAAATGTTCCTATGCCAAGTTACTAGTTCAAATTATTAATTTAAAACTTTTACCTGAGCTACTTAAACTACACTGGCTTTGTGCTGAAATAATGCAGTCTATCAGTTAGCCACAACCCTGAAAGGACACAGTAAGTCTCATAGTCTCTGATCACAAGTGTTAAAGGAAACTCTCAGCATCACATGGTATTTGCAGCAGTACAGGGTAATCTAAACAGGGGAAACCCCAGTTCCCACTCTGTTCTCTGTCACAAATCTCTTCCTGCTTTGTAAGAGTCACCTATGCAGCTGGGAAGCCATCAAGTCAACAGAAAACCCTCGTGGACAGGTGACCAGCATCTTTATGTACTTTTGTTTTTTTAAGGTGTGACTAGAGGTGACAAGTTTTAGGATTGTTTCTAAAACAGCTCATCTATGTCAGGAAAAACTAACACTTTGAATCTGTTTCTCTGGAGGCTTGAACTGAATTTAAGCTCAGTCTCCATTTGCGCTATACATTTTGTTAAAGTTTGGAACCACGGCTGTCTCCAGGGATGTTGTGTGCAATAACTTTGATACTGCTTGACAAAATGGAATGATATACATTTAGCCTCAAAGATCATCCCCACAAGCACATAAGCAATTCTCACCAGATCTATGAGGTATCTAGTATGCCCGTTCTCTAGATGTATCTGATTGACTTTTGAATAGCAGATTAAAAGTTCAGGGTCTGAGCAAATTTTAGAAACATGCTCACAGAATGCACCAGTCATGAGGCACCCCTCAGCCACACAGTTCAAGAACGGAGATGGACCATGATATTTCTGGAATGGTAGTAAATTCACAGAAACCGGGATGACAATGTATTTGATAATTAAAGTAGAACTCTACAAGCCCTGAAACTTGTTTTTTAAGTAAGTCTGTAAACCATTGTAAATTGGCATGATGCTTTATAGAAACTTAATATTACTGGTCAGTGTCTTATTTTTTCCTTTTCTGTCAGGCTAATAAGTGTCTTAAGTATCAATATATCAAACCTTAAAAGTTGCTCCTTAGTCCGAGACAGCAATATAGATTGAGACATCTTAGAAAAACAAATGTGCGTTAAAATGATGCCATGTAATAGAACAAAATTTGCTGTACTTGCTTCTGAGTGACTTTGCTGTAAGACACAGGAGTTAATTTGGCCCTGGGGAAGTCATTAAGAGGCTTTTTCAAAAGAGCATGGAATTTGGAGTAAGAGTTAATGTAAACAGTTTCTTCTACTTTAGATTAATTTCTAAACAGGCTTAGTTAACAACACTATTCTCCACACAGATACCCTTTTTTTATTTATTTTATATGTATGCACTATATATATGCGGTAATGACTACAGCTGTACTGAAACGACATTTACTTTTTAATTCACTAAAACTCCATCCACACCAGGTCATTTTTATGTAGATCTAAATGAAGCTCCACAGAAAACCAAAATGAATATTCTTCAAAAGCTTTTTGATCAGTTACTGAATCAATGAGTTGAGAAACTAAAGAAAACTGTCAGCTCCTAAAGCTTAATTTCACAGTACTTACTGATAGACTTCAGAGATGACACTGTAAACCATGTAGCTGACAAAGTGGATACAGGAATTGAGCAATAAATATTTGAACTGTGTTGATACTAAAGAGCTACGGAACAGGCACAAGTAGTTTGCATTAGTTTAGTCTTCAACAGAAGCATTCCAATAACTGTTTTAAGGAAAAGGTGGCTCACTTTAATAACCACAGGCATTAGTCACTATTTAACAAGACATTCTAAAAAAGTAATCACAATTTGTCCGATAGTAGTTTACAAGTGGATGGTATACATTAAGATACAGAGGTAGAAGTTCACTTTTACAATGCTTCACTAATACAGATTACCAAATTCAAGGCACAAAATTGTTCGCTTTACAAAAAATACTGTAAAAATGTCATTTGCTGTTCTACAATGTGAGTACAACTCAAAAAAATCTTTACACCCTTCCATATTCTGCATGTAGAGTTGCATCAGGCATTATTCTATTTTTCCTTTACTAATAATTGGCATATGACCAGCACTTACATAAACAGTTTGTATCTCAGCTGAGTTGCTTTGTCTTTTAGGCACAAGTCCAGTTACAGAAATTTAATACAACAGCTTCCTCGGGGGGTGGGAGAACTCTGTCGGAAGTAAGAATGAGGAGGAAGAAAAGAAACATATAGTCCATAACGGTAGGTTGGACTCTGACATATAGAGGGAAACAGAACAGAGCATATTTCAAATCAAGTGACTTGAAAAAAGTCAGTTTAAGTCATTGACTGCATTCCTAGAAAACCAGATGCCCAGTACACGTTTGCTTTGAGAGTATTTGAGACATTCACTTGCCTTTGAATCGGCAGAGATTTACAAATTTCTTTTTATCTTTGTTTAAATAGAACACACACAGTTGCTACAAAAGAGAATTACACCACAATTTGGCCATGTGTCCTTTAGAGAGCTTGGGTGAACAAGTGAAGAGATGCATTCAGAAATTGTCCTTGAATTTGCTGAAAGGTCATGAGCAGTAGCTTAAATCTCAAGATTTCCCTCCCTCCCTCTTCCCAAATAAATAACATAGGGAAAGACAAACAATTTCTGAAACATTCCATCTTCTAGTTGGAGACAGCTCTTATAAGCCTTGGCAGGCTGAGGAAGAGATCACACAGTGCATCCCTACAAGAAGTAGTATGACTAGTTTACTGTACATACAGTGATATTCTAAAGGACAATGGCGGCAGCTACATTGTAAATTCACTTTGCTTACCTATCACATTTTCCAAGTACTCTAGTCAGTTTTATTTACAGTATATAAAAAACCATTGATTTTTAGAGTTCAATACACAGGTTTAGGACCCAAGAGAATGCCACAGTAAGATGTTGACATTTGCATCTGTTAGATGCAAGTGCACTTTGTAATTCAGTCATGTAACTATCGTATTCACCCATAAATGTTAGTCCATCCAAAACAGTGTTAAATTCCATTTTTTGCTTCATTGTTGTTTGTAGCCTGTTTCCTTTGAGCGATGAAAGGGTACATACACTTGTCTGCTCCCAAAAATCGGTACATGCATACAACTGCTTCAAAAGGCAGAATACTGTGAGAAAGAGGTTATAAAATTGTTAGAAGACAACATAAAACAAAACCTCAGCTTACACTATGTACTTGGTCTCCTTAAAAGCAACATAATAGCTATTGGAGAGGCTTCCTAAGAGACTTAAAGGATTTTTATTTCACAGGGATACTTACAAAGAGAATTGAAATTCTAGAGTCCCAACCACACAGGCAAGCAGAAAGGAGGAAGAAGCAACTTATTCCCATCCCTCCAGCTTAGACCAGATTTTCTGCTGCTTCTTCAAAAGCAGTATGATAGCTTGTTTTAAAGGGGGGGAGGGAGAGGGCAAGGGCACCATAGAAGGCCTACTAAAAGCAAAGCATCTGCTCAAAACCACATCAGCAGAGGTCATCAGACGTTTAAGATATTCTTTAATGTGGGATTAGCGTTAGTTAATGCCATTCTTTGATCACCAGATGCCTAACAACCTTGACTTATATTCTAAACTCAATCATCCATCCTCAAGAAGAGAGGTCTGAAGTAAAGAGAACAATTTCCTTTCCCCCCCTCCAGATAAAACTCTAAGAGGTGACTGTGTGATGGATACCTGGCTACAGATCTTCCCCTCCTTCCCACATCCACAAAACAGTACTTTTATTTCAACTGCTCAGGGGCTCTAGTGAAGAACTAAGATGGGATTTCCCCAGCCCCTGGAAACAGCGGCAGACACTCATTCAGCAGAAACCAGCGCACAGAATCAACCATTAGAAGTAATGCCCACTGAAGCACCGAAAAAAGTAGATGTCACTGGTACAGGTGTCCTCGCTGCCAGCAGTACTGCTTGTGCAGTGGGGACTGGAGGGCCTTTGATCTAAGTGCTGCTGCCTGAGGCATGGATTATGCAGAAGCTTTGATCTCCCTGTTGGAAGCTAAAGTGTTGAACCAAGACAACCCCAAGGGCCTTTGATGTGACTGTTGCTGCATAAGGCACTGCTTGCGCAGAGAGCACTGAAGCACCCTCTGAGCTTCTGGTTGAAGAAGCTAGTTCTTAAAGATGCTGACAGTGGCCTTGATTTGTTGGTGGAAGAGACACATACGTACTCTCTTCCAGGAAAGAGGTGAGCGGGGAAGGCTCCTCTAGTCTCTGGTGAGCCATGAGACTTGAGGCAGAGGAGAACCACTGCCTTGCAAGTGCAACAAAAATCACCAAGATTCGCAGTTGCAACCATCCCTCACAGAAGGAAAATAAGACAACCCTATATTTTAAAGGTTCCTCCTACACACTACAGATTTAAAAAAAATAACCCACAGCTGTGAAGCTGTTCTCTATAAACTAGAATGCAACTGATGTTACATTAGTGGAATTAAGCCAACTCCTGTATTACCCTGCACCATTGAAATGTCAGCCTGGTTACAGATTAAACAGGGTTGCCATCCAAAAACTGTAGTCTGTTAGACAGGACAAAGGAGATAATTCCTTTAAATAGCCCTTCCTCCAAACTTATACTCTGAAAATGGGTTCTGAACGTGCAGATTTTCAGTTTATCTACTATATCTGTGCAAGTCCTAGAGAAGCTGCAGGCAGGGCCTCCTACACGCTGGTTCGACAGATAAACAGCTAGAGGTTTCTTTGCTGGAAGCTGCCTCATGCCCCAATCCTAAAGAGGAACCCAAACAACAGAAATAAAATCTGTTGAAAAAAATAGGAATCTAAAGAGGATGTAAGATACCAGAAGGGTAAAACAAGGATGCATAATACACAGGATCTAGTTTTACAGAGCTTCCCAAGCACGCAACCTACACTCATGCAAGCCAAGAAAGAGACCTATAAATTCTAACAGAAGAGGACCTATGGCCTGTGTGGGTGGAAGGGTGTTTATGTCCAGAAAGTGAAGATGCTTATGTATTTTACTAGTGCTCCGTAGACTATATTGCCAACAAACTGGCATTTCAGCTCTTACCTTTTCATGAAGGTGACCATATACATGAGGCGGGGTGTGCAGATCATTGGCTGGTCTGTAAGGATAGCTCTCATAGCCTGCTTCACACAGTATTCTGGTTTCAAGGGTGGAAGGAAAGGCTCAATTTCTTTTCTGAAATATTTGGTTAATACAGATTAATAAGATACATAAAGGACTGTAGATGTCAGTGAAGAGTTCATTAACTCACTTTCTTTGGAATGCCTCAGCAGGCACAAAGACTTCATTTTTTTTTTATATTCACTGTTAAGTTACAAAGCCTATAGATCAAAACTTGTGCTGCCTAAGTACAAAAAGACAGAAGACACTCAATAATTCAGAAAGTCTCTTTTTAAAGTCTAAAATAAATTAAAGCAGATATAATACTTATTTTAATATTTCTATGGTAACAGGTTAGTTACCTTCAAGTACTTTTATGACACTACAAACACAGAGCAGAAGGAGAATTTTACTCACCTGATCCTGCACCCTCTAAACATTCCTGTATCTACAAGATAAGGGCAGACTAAAGTTGTTTTAATTCCGTCCTTTTCAGCAGCCTTCAATTCATGGCTCAAAGACTCATGGAAACCTACAGCTCCAAATTTGCTGGCGCAATAATCCTGTGTTGGCAATGAACAGAGCGCAAAAAAAAAAAAAGGCAACTTAAAAAGGACAGATATGAATCATGTTCAAAGCCAAAGCATATCTGAGGTGATTCTGCACAGATTTTCAAAGCAACAACAAAAGACAGCCACTGAATAGAGCATCACATCAACTCATTTATCACTTTACTTTTGAGGCAATTAGCACAGAATCATGAAAGCAGGAAAGCTGAATGTAGGAGGATATTACCTTGGATTCGAGTCTTTGAATCAGGCAGGCTCACATTGCAATTTACTCCAATTACCAGTTTGCTTAATATTAAATGTTACAACAAAGGACTGAGATACCTAATACTACCTTGGGTCAGATTTTGAAAAAGCTTGGGGAGTTGGCAGGGCATAGGTGTAAAAATCTTAAATGCTTTATTTTTTAAGGTTAGTCTCAACAGAAGATGTAATGGAGATTTGAGTGTATTATTTAATTTTCAGAAGATGACATAGCTTGTATATCTCATAAAAATACTAAGTTCAGCAACATTAAAAAATAATTGAATAGACAGCAGCAGCATTTGAGGTTTCCGTTGGATGTGTCCACCTCTGCTGGTGGTCACACCCACGGTCTTGGAAATTCTTTGTAGTTTTCTCAAGACAGTAAATACTCTAAAAAGCCTTCAGTTATATCAGCTTCATTAATTTCTGTTATGAAACACTACAGTTTAAGGTCCTGGATTGAGCCTTACCTATATGCGAAGAAGTCTGCACTTATGGGGTAATAAGACCATTATTCCATTAGACACATTAATTCTTTTTCACAAACTGAATACTTTTTGTTCACACCTGCATTTGTGCTAATGACCCCAAAAGCAAGATAATAGGCTCTAGTCTTAACGTGGTTTTATGTATCAAACAAGTCTCACAAACTGGTGTTCTCAAACAGCTGCAAGTAGACAACCTAATGCTTATAACTGGGAGCCTAGTGAAGCAGGTGAGCCACATATTCTGGAAGGAAGGCTGGCAGCCATTTCCTCACAGAAACAGGAAACAAAACACATTACTTTTGAAAATCCTTGCCTTTGGCTTCAAGTGTGGCACCAAAGATCTTGACAGCGGTAGGTAAGCAGTCACCTTCTGGGTTCCCACATTTATCAGGTAATCCAAAGGTCATTTAGCACGCTGAAATCTTTAGCCTAGGCTAACCTAGGCTTCTACTCGCAGTGGCAAGTCCACCTGCAAAGCAGGTGAATAATGTGGCTGCCCGAATCCTGTGGATCCCGCTTACAAGGAGCCGCGCGTTGGTATGGTACTCAGCACCGCAGCTTCCAAGTACCTTTGAAGATCTGACTTTTGATTTTCTCTAGCTGATAATACAAAAAATCTCATCCTAAGCAAGAAGCGCCAAATTTATTGTTAATTATAGTCTAACAAACCTCCACTCCAGCAGTACTGAACAATCCCAAGGAACTTGCAACTGTCACGATGTGTCCATGATTCATTTCCAGCATCTTGGGAAGGAATGCTTTAGTGGTCTACAAAGTTAAAAATAAATAAATAAATAAATAAAAAACCTCACCACAAACATGCTACCTTACTGATAAATGTTCAGAACCTCTATCAAGAATTTAGAAGTACGATCACTGTACAGATGTTGAACTCCTGAGTTTGTTAAAAATGCCAACATAAAATCTGCAGCTTGTTTGTGAATTCAGACAGCAAGGCAGCAAGGATTATATCTCCAGAAATCCTAAGGTTAAAGGATCAATTGAGCTCAGACATGTTTATTTTTCTGCAAGAGACTAGTTATCAGAAAGAGATAATTTGACCCTAAAATGGAAGTCACATTTTTTTTAAGACAGAAAAAGGAATGCAAAGTGTTTAATTACACCATCCAGCACATCTGTGTTAAAACCAGTGCCGATTATCAGTTCTAATTATTGACAGTGTGTTTTGTAAGTTAAATATGGCTAGTTTTATCCAATTAACTTATCATCTTGGGCATTTTACATTAGAAGAAATACTAAAGGCAGAACTGTCACTGATGTTACTTTTTATGTACAATACAGTAAATATCTGCTAGTCTAAATTACTTTCCATCTATATTAGTATCCATAAGCATTGCTCTAACTAAAAGGACAAGATACGCATTTCTAGTATCAATTTCTTATTTTAAGAATTTCAAAATAAAACAAATAAAACAAAAGCAAGTCTCAAGAGGAAACTTTGATTTTAAGCTCCAGTTTTCATGCTTTGATTATAACAAAGGTTGTTTCTGTTTAAAAACCCAAGTCAGAGTTACGACCTTTAAAAAATTAAATTTTAAGCAACAAAGTAAAGGCATTTGCTAGATCACCCCTGGTAGAATACCTACCTTTGTCATATCTGTTTTCTGAAACTGAATCAACACTTTCCTTTTTTAAATAAGTATTAAGCAGAGCACCACATATGCTAAAAAAAAATTATCAATGAAGTAGTAAAATGGTATGTGTAGTTATGATTTACTTCAGCTTCTAGGTTGTCAGTGTACTCTACGAGATCACTTTTAAATTGCCAAAGAACTTCAGACAATGCTTTTTAATCACAAACATGTCTAGTTAATATATAAATGTATTATTGACAGAGCTATTATTCTCTTCTAACTCACTCAGTACCACAAATGCTTAATCCTTCCAAAAACCTGGTCTTCCCATGTAATTTGGATCCAAACTCAGAGCATGCAAATGCCCCTTAAGTATTTGCTACTTGCTTAATTGTTGGTCTGAGTCTTGTCAGCTGCATTCTTAAAAAGACATGCAAGCTACAGCTGAATCCATCTAATTCCATTCTTATGCTGTCCGCATTTTCCAATCACAGACGTCAGGACAGTTTTGCTCTAATGATTTTCACATGTTCTTGTACAACATTTTTGCCTGCAGGTGTTAAATGACTAATCCAGACCTCCTAACACCACACAAAAGAGTGTTTTCACTGGACAGCTGGCAGATGATAGAAGATTAACAGACCTCCTGACTCCTTGCCTTTTCTACTGTTGATTCATACAACTCCTAGATTCTGTCATAACTGCATAACGAAGCTAATTATAAAAAATAATCTGAGAGCAAGCTGCCTTGCATTTGTTTCTTTCCTCATGGCAGGGATCTCTAAACCTCTTATATTGAGCCTTGGACAAGAATTTAGTTCGCTGTTAAACTAATCTGTGCCAGGCACACAAAGTTTCAGCCTCTCTTCCCATGTTGCATGGCAACAAAGCCCAGTCATCACAGGCAGCGCCGCCTGAAAAGGTAAGAGGCTTCGCTTGGACGGCACTGAACTTTTACAGTGTGTTATTTCTCTGCAGCCTGCCTTACGCACCCCAACGCCAACGGTGCGTATGCTATCCCTGTAAGAGATCCGTGCTCCCAACTCAGTCCTGCTAGCAATTTACTCCCCTCCGGAGCATTAGTCAGCTCCATCAGTTTCCACTTACGTGTCAGTTATCTGTCCACATCACATCGGAATGACTGATTGCCACCTCCCATTGCCAGAAAGTTTGATAATGCAGACTGAAGCTCTGGCTGCAAACCACAGTAACTACAGAAAGGAAAGGGCACTCGCCTTGGAGTTTGTTTTACTGGAGAGAAAGAATGGAAAGAAGTAGCAAGAAGGCTTTTTTCCTACCACTTTCAGGGCATGAATCAATGTTTTCTTCCAAGAAATAAACAACAGGCAAGCGCACCAAGCTTTACTTACTGGACTGGCTTTTCTATTATCTTCACTGTGGCACTGCTTTTTCTTTTTTCCTTTTTTTTTTTTTTTTAGTTAAATATGATGAACTATAACTAGGTGTCCATAAGTGTCTATTTTTATCTACAGCTGAAGACGACAATTTTCACAGGCACATATATGGATACAGGAGACAACCAGAACAACTACAGAGCAGTACATTTCAGAAAACCCACTCAACTATGCTACACTCCTTCAAAGCGTAAAGATTACAAATACCGAGTTTTCAGAGTTTGTGGCTAAAGTAACCCATTTTCAACCAAGAGGAAATTGGCACATGACAAATAAACCCTGTTGAGGACACTTTTGGGTGACGTCTTCAGCAGTCAAACGCAGACCGAACAACTCCCAGCAGCGGAACTACGGTCACTTCATGCAAGTAATCTCTTAAAAGGCCATTTATGGCCACATAAGAAAAAACACAGCTCCTCTGCTCTGAAGACAATTAGCAATTCATGGAAATCTTTGCGTGAGACCTCAATGTTCTGCAACAGCCTGTTCAGAGCAGGCCCCTGTACTTTGTCATAGGACATTATCCCGCAAATCCATTTAAAACCTGAAGCTGAGGCAGTCTATAAAGATAGCACAACTATCACATGTAGAAAACTTTGCAGTCAACTATCAGTGTCTCAGGCTAAATGGATATCAGAGAAAGCCATCTCGGTTGCTGCCATCCTCCAGCCATCTGCTACAGCTGGGACTCAGTACTTGAAAACAAGCCCCGTCAGAGGCAGACACACCCTATGGGGGGGGACGCATTTCCAGGCTCAGAGTAAAAGGCTTGCCCACTGCTCCTCCCAGCCTCCTCTTGCTGGGAAAAACAATCCCAAAGTGAAGTTATTCTCTTTCGTGGCATAAGCAATCCCCAAATAAATCAGTGTTCTTACTGAGCTTCTGGCACAGCGCACTTCCTTGATCAAAGCAGCTTCCTCCATACTCTGGTCCCCAGTTTTTCTGCCTGTTACATAAACCAGATCAACCTAGTTTCTCGTTTCTAGTTTCTTTCAGCTTCAGCTACATCTGCCTACCAGACCTGAAGTCTTCTGTGTGCTTGTTGTGCTGCTGAGAAACTAGTTAAGGGTTTGACCCGTTCGGGGCAAGATGCCTCCTGGGTGGCCTTCCCATCTGGAGTTTGTCTGAACAGGTAGCACAGCCCACATTAGTCTTCTGAGGTGATGCATGGACATGCTAATCCTCCATAAAAAAAAGAAAGTATTAGAAGATAGCAAGCAAGAAATGTGTTTTGTCCATGGCATTAGAGGTCATGAACCAGGCCCCCAAAATAATTCAAATCAACTCAAGTGATTTAATCAAACTATATGCCTTCTGGTTTGATCCTTTAGGTTTCAGTTTTACCTCTCCCAGCTGTAGGAAAAGACATTTAACCAAAATATTTAAGTACTTAAAGTCAGAGCTGGGTCTTTTATTAATGACAAGCATACACTTTTCAACACTGAGGAGAAACCAGTAAGTAGAGTATAGTGGATGAAAAGAATTGTGTTGTGATGCATCGGGGTGGGGAATCAGGGAAGTTATGCGGTGTTCAACATCAAGAAATTTAAGCAGCCTCTTCACTCAGAATTAGCTTTTTCTTTTTTTTTTTTTTTTGAAAAACCCAAAAGCATGGTGCAAACGTGCATTTTCTAACCTGTAGCATAGTTTAGATACAGCAACTAGGTAGGATAGACAGAAAATATGAAGCTCTTCTGAACAATAAGTATGGCAAGTTTTTCAAGCTAGTTTAACCTTTAAGTTTTTTGGAGTCTGGAGATCAATTCCTAATCTTCTAAGCATTTTCCTCTATGCTTCTGAATATACCAGTAAGAACAAACTATTCCCAGTAGCTGTAACCAAACATCTATTTCATGTGCACACAGCTTTAATGACTTATTTCTCACAAGTGTGAAACTGAACAAGCATTTACATGTCACTTCATAGCTTTCGTAATCTGTTCTCAACATTTTGGTTTACGGCAAATTAACTTCCAACAGTCTAGCACTTCTTCCCTCCCCTTCCCCAAATTCTTTAGTTCCATTCTTAATGAAACAAAACTCAAAAGATTGTGCAACACAAAGAACAGCACAGCTGCAATGTCAAGACAAATTAGTCTAAATACAGCAAATGAGAATATGAAGAAATACTGTTTGGGAAAGTGATTTTTTTAATTAAATTTTGGATTAATTATTCTTAAAGAAGAAAGCAAGCATCCACAGAAAACAATGTTAGCTGTATGCAGCTCGGGACAACGGATACTGAATGCAGAAAGCACACCAAAGTAGAAAAGTATGTGCTACCCCACGTTTAGAGAATTGTCTTTAGATCAAAGAAAGAAATAAAGCAGGTACCAACAATCTAGGTCCTTTAAGTTTTTATTTTTCAATACAGTATTTTTTTTTTCATACTTTCTGCCTTCTGTCAATGTTCAACAGCCCTTTTAAACTGTTTTGATGGCATAAACAAGCTGCTTTACTGTAAGGCAGAAATTCCTTTATGCCACAGAACAGCTCATTTTCCGTGCAGCCCCTTCAGGTAAGGCAGATAGAGCGTGGTTATTTTTCTGGGGCTGATCAAAACAGGTGAGTGTTTACATCACTATAGTCATCCACAACAGTGGTGTACTGGTGTAACAGATAAGACACTTCCTCCCAAGCCACAGCTATTCCTGACTGCCAGGACACTTACCCAAATGTTGCACTTGTTGGCACTGTTAGGCAAATGCATCATTTCGTCTTCATGTTAAACACTATTTGGCCAGACCCAAGAAGCAAAA